AATCTCATTACAGACAAAATTTGTGTATCCTTATATCGTGACTATTTTGTCAAGAGATACTACACATTTCAGTTTTATATATCATTACAGAGGAAGAACGGAGGATATTCATTTTACAAATACCAATATCAAGTATTGGTCTGTAGGAGATTTTGGCTGATTTGTTGGGGGATTTCATTATGAGCTGACATCAGTTAGAGAACCATTTGAAAACCAACTGGGAGTACTGGACAGCTGTTCCCTACATCCTAGTAAGGGACTCCCCAGCAGTACGCATTCACCACTACTGTTCAAACCCAAGACCTCTTGGTTGCAAGACGAGCCACTGGGACCAGATGCAATGGCCAGCCATCGAATGAATTCCAACTTCTGCCAATTCGTGACATAGTGTGACCAATTAGCCATGTCTTCTACATCGTGAATTGACATAAGTTGAAATTCATGGACTGGCCATTGGATCGCGTCCCAACGGCTCATTGATCTACGAGTTCGCCTTGTAACCAGAAGGTCCTGGGTTCGAACCGTGGTGGTGGATGCGTAATGCAAAAGGGTGCCAAACTAGGACTGCGGAAGCAGCTGTTCAGTACTCCCGGGTTTTCTAGTGGTCCTCTAACTAATTTCAGCCGATGATGAAACCCTCCAACGGAACACCAATATTGTAAATTCATTTGGTTATTGGTGTAGCTTCATTTTGTATGCATAGTAGAGATATCACTATGCACTCAATCAAGGATACTTGAGTTTCTTCCAGTGAATTACTGTGCACTTTAATCTGTCGATGTTTACATTAGACTCTGGATTTTGCAAGTATTCTCTCGTACGCTTCACTTTTATACTTTAAATTACTAAACTATAAAAATCAGCTTTTTTAGACAAGTTCCATCAACTAATGATTTAACACAATAAAGTGAACAGTTTTCGCCGGTACTTAAGGTTATTACATAATCAAGATGTGATAATTAGTTAAATGAAAGACACTACAAGGTGAATACATTTCTCGGCAAAATATGATCCTATCACATTTGTTAGATTTTCGCCACGAATTAACATCAGTTAGAGAGATCATTGTAAATCATGGAGCACTGACAATTTGTTTCATCCTATTTTGAGACTCTTCAGACATGCTCAATCATGACCTCACCAAGGACCTTCAGGCTACAAGACCAAGCTCGTTGACTGGGAGTAATGACCGCTGCAGTCCACCATGTCAAGGTGGAATGGATAATGATCCACTGTATTGGTGTTGACCAAAACAAAACCATATAATCAAGATATGATAACGGCAGAATAGAGACGTCACTGAATTCCAGCTTAGGTGGCTAAGTGGTAAATGAGAGTGGTCTTGTGACCTGAAGGTTCTGGTTTCAGTCGCTGGCAGGGTCGTAGGTGTTCACTGACTAATAGCCCTGAAATAGGAAGGAACAGATCTTCATCGATCACTGTAACTGATGTCAGTAATAATAAAGATCCCACAATTCAAAATAACCCAAAATCCCCACAAATCCCATAATTTGATCACCTCAATAACTGAAATTTCATAAACTAAAATCTACCCAATGCGAGTCTATTGAAATGAATAGAATAAGAAATGGTGTAAGTAATCAATAGTTTGCGCAGCTGTGATTAATAACTATGTTAAGTACCTGGAAGGTCTTAGTGGCTTAACTGACTACATGGTCGCCTTGTAACCGTAAGGTCCTAGGTTCGGACCCCAGTGGGTGTGTCCTGAAGAGGAGTCCCAAACTAGGACACAAAACATCTGTTTAGTACTCTCAGGTTTTGTTCGTCTGTGCTTCAGTGGTAGACTGATGACCAGCCATCTGAGTTTGGAGTCCCAACCAGCCCACATCTTTGCCACCCTTAACCGGTTATAATCTTGACAAAGAGAAGGAATATTGGGTTTAAGGCTAGCAACCCCACCTAGTAAAAAGTACCATTGCTACCAAAGCAACAAAACTCCACTGTGAAGCCATATGTTCCACTCGGGACACAAAGGAATAAAATAAATAATTTTCAAAAAAAATAAGTAACTGGAAACAGAGATATTAAGATATACTTACTGTGTGCAGTTTGTAATTGAATTCTCAATAATAAAGAAGAGAAATAACTGTTTTGTTGAGAAAGTGTCACATTAGGAAGTTTAGGAAGTGAAAGTATCCGCATATTATTATCTAATGTTTAGATTGAATAAAAATAAATCAGCTTTCATCTATCTGGTTAAAAAACCTAGCAGTCGGTAATACTCTGAAAATCTTTAGGCTGGACAAATACAGACTAAAATGGCTTCTAGTCATGGGAGAAATTAGAGTTACACCTGTGAAAAGATGAACGAATCAGATCACATTGTATGATCTGATTGATCCTATAAATGTACCACTGATAGGTATGAGTAGTGGTACATCATTGAATTCCACCAGAATTGCTTCCTATTCGGATAAGAGTGATCCAAATACCGGACGGGTGATTTGAATCGATTGGGCGCCGGTTATTCAAGTGATGCACAGTTTATAAAGTCAGTCTCAACCGAGGAAAATGTCTATTCAGTGAAAATTGAAGCCAACGAAAAGCAGTATGAAATACTGTCTAGTCACCATTCCGCCATCCAGTTATAAATGTCAAACTTTAATGGTGGATCCTACATAAAGTAATCTTTTGGGATTTATTTAATGTGTGCATTCAATTGCTGTACTACATAATATTACTCGTCAGTGTAGGAAAATGTTTTACACATGGAGAGATTGGCGAAATGATCAACTCCCACACAGTCTAGTTGTATATGAAATGTGATCTAAAATAGAAATATGAGAGCTCATATTCCTGCATAATAAAAATAGCTTTATAGGAATTAACTGGCTATAAATTTAATACATTTATATTCAAAATAGAAATGCCTATTTCAGATTTGACGAGCAGTTGATAATTAGTTAGAGAACCATTCGAAAACCAGGGGATACTGGACAGCTGTTTCCTCCGTCTTAGTTTAGGGCTCATCGGTAGTACGTACCTAATGAGGTTCAAACCTAGGATCCTACACTTACAAAGTAAGCCGGTAGACTAATCAGCCACTGGTACCTGATTCAATGACCGATCCATGAATTCTAACTTCTACGAACTAACTCTCGAAAATTAATCCGAAAAGAACCAAGACAGAAAGAAACAGCTGGTTTTCAATGGCTCTCTAACTGACATCAATCCCTGGTCAAACTTGAAGCAAACCAAATCGCTACAGCTAACTCTTAAAAACTGTTTTTCATGTATTATACAAAAGTCCTGATTGAATATAAAAGAGTGAACCCTTAAGTTAAATCGATTAAAATGAATGGCTTAGTTTTTTAAAATTTTAATCGTCTACTAGTAGGTTATTGACTTTTATCTAATAGAATTTTTAGTTAGGGTTTAGAAACACTTAAAATCACCTCATCTATAAAACTTTCTTAGGTGTTAAAAGCTTGTAAATGGACCACTCAAAGACACGATTAAAGGGCTTGACTATTACTGTCGATATGTAGATCATACCTTTATCGTTTGTAATTGAAATTTTAATAAACAAGAGCTTATGAATGCTGCTAATAGTGTTCACCCAGCTATTCAGTTTAAATGTGAAGAAGAAGACAATAACAGTTTACATTTCCTAAACATAAAGGAAATGCCTTTTACATTTCCTAGACAGACGGATATATACAAAGGAAATTATTTAGAATGAAACCTTGGACGGGTCAGTACACCTATTATCATAGCTTCACACCGATTCAGTACAAACGAAAATTAGTTAAATGTCTTAGCTATCGAATAAAACGCATATGCTCGGAGGAATGCATCAAGGAAGAAATGCATAAACTGAAACTTACACTGCAAAAAAATGGATATCAAGAGAACTTCTTAAAAAAGTATACATCAATACCTAGAGACAGGGTAAAGGTGGATGCCGCAGACAAGAACCCTTTGTATCTTAAGTTACAAAGGGAAAATTTCAGCTGACATTCTTAAGTGTTAACTTGACAGAGCAGTAGGGAGAACATCTCCTGCAGCTAAACTGGTACTCAACTTCTCAACCAAACCAGTACTCACACAGCAAGTCAAGGATAAATTACCAAAGATGGTCACATCAATGTGTATTTATGAATTCAACTGCTCATGGGGAGCTAGTTAGATTGGCCTTACTCAGAGGACTTTATCCATGCGCGCGTGTGAACATGTACCTGTATGGTTGAGTAAAGGAGTAACCAAATGTGTAAATAGTGCAGCCTTAGCCCACTTCTGTTCATTACACTTAACTAAATTCATTATTAATATTGTTATTATTATTTGACAATCATTCAACAATAGTACTTGCATTTTACACCATATAATCGTTATTATTTCACAATCATTCTTACTGTCGTTATTTTCAACCTTGAACTTATGTCTAGTCTGCCCCATTCGTTGGTTTATTTGCATATTGTCCCACACACCCTGATTACACTCACTCTCGAAACCTGAATTTTCTGTTGACTATATTTATATATATACACACACATCGTTAAATTAAATTACTTCATCTCATTTTGTCCCATGTTCTCATTGACCATGCATATTAAAAAACTAACTGACTATTGATCCATCCCACCTTATACTTGTACCACAATACACATTTCTGATATAATTCTAATTTGCCTTTACTGGCTAGCTATTGTATGCTTAAATTAATGGATTTATAATTTGTTTTTACGAGTTTGACCACGGATTGATATCAGTTAGAGAACCATTGAAAACCAGGGAGTACTGGACAGCTGTTTCATCCTAGTTAGGTAATCATCGGTAGAACGCACCTACTGGGGTTCAAACCCAGGACCTTCTGGTTACAAGGCAAGTTCATATATATAATTGTAGAGCCTGAAGAAGAATTTACTGAAACCACAATTGTTTGCTCTAACTATTTTGTTCTGAATAAATTATGCGAATATTTAATTTACTGAAATAAATAACTGTCACGCAGATAATAATTTCAATGATAAACTCACTTGGTATACAGTTGCAAAATGATGCCATACAATTTATCGAGAAATAAGGTAACCAGCATACAGTGAATGAACCCAATATCACACCGAGTGTTATAGCCGCTTTATGCGCTTTATGTATCTGTTTATCCGACGTATTCAGTTGGATTTGTGGACGAGATAATGTTGTAATAGCATTTCCATAAGCACTAGACGATTTATTGAAAGGGATACATAAACCCGGTAAACTATACTTTCTACGTGATGATTGTTCAAGAGATGAAAAAGAACTAGTCGATGTTTTATAGTGTACAGCTGAGGGTTTATTTGCCACAGAGAAACATCCATTTCTAGGCGTCATTTGTACTGAACGCAATGATGAGCCTAAATGTGATCTGGATAAACGCGGCCGAAGTTTATATACATCAGAGGAAACAGTCAGAGAATTTCTAAGATTACTAGTTGAATCATAATTTGGATCCAAATACATATTACGTGTACTTGATAGGGATTTCCTTTGAAACATCATATTTGGTGATGTATGTGATGTATAAAGTGTCTGCTGCTGCTGGTGCTGCTGTTGCTGAGGTTGCTTACCATTGGTATTTTCACAAGAGGACAAGTCACGTGAACAGTTCGAAGAATTCGGGTGAAAATTCAACCTACTTATATGTTGTTTTGTCAGTAGAAATAAACGTGTATAAATGATCACCATCAGTGTTAGGGGGATAACGAAACTGAATGTAGCATTTGTCAGAGCATAGAAACAATCGATTTGATGAATACATGAAACATCCGCTTCTGGTGTCAAGAACTGATGTGATACGGAGTCATCACTTGACGGCGCTATCGTTTCCACTGTTGATGATGATGATAGTGATGATGAGTGAAGAGGATGTTTTGTACAGTTTTCTTTCATAGTCTCTGCGAATTTATCACCACGTTTAAAATTCCTGGTATTAGTAGTTGATGTTCTTGTACACTCTGTATAACTTGGTGTATGCCAATTCAGTTGGATTGGTAAAATAGCTATGAGGATAGACAGAAACCATAGACCAGATAATATTGTAAACAGAAATCGTAATTTCAGCCTCCGGGAATACTTTAACGGTGCTTTTATATGTAAAAAACGATCGAATGCCATAACAACTAAGTGTAATATAGTAGCAGTACAAAATAATTTATCTAAGGATAAAAAGATTTTCACTAGATTATCAGAAAATTTCTCCGGTTGTATAAGATTATACATAATACTAAAAGTCATAACACTGCAAGAAAAGAAAATATTTGTTAGTGATAAGGAAATAAAGAAGACATTCGATCTATGCCTCAAATGTCGATCAATTAATGCTACAAAGCAGATAAGTGAATTGCCGAGGATAGTGCATATCACAATCACAATTGGTACAATTGTAGTCCATGTGAACCATACATAATTAAGCGTTTCATTCGATGAATTTGTTAAGGCATTATCAGTTATTCTATGTTCATTATTGTTATTTGAGATATAAGAGGATGGTAGATCGTGAAGTGTTTTCAGAGACCATTTACATGTTTTACTCGGTGTTATCTTGATAATTTGTAAATGATGTCCGGTACTGTTCATTTAGTCTGCTTCATCCATATGCACTGATATGTGTGTAATTTGTGATCCTTGTGAATACAACTTTAGTCCAGTTTGTGATTAATATTAATTATCGGTAATACTTTTATTTATTTCCCTATTTGTGTGGAAATTTCAAAAGCTAGTCTACTTGTCTGTAATCTGATTGGTTAGTGAAGATGGCGACCAATCAGTTTTGAGCTTTTACTAAAACACAGGAGACAAATGATATTTACTGATTAAAAGCGATTGCTTTTATATGTGTATCCAATATGAACTGAACGAGATTGGCAATTCACACATAGTTCAAGGAGGTGAAATTCCAGCGTAGGTAGGGAGGGGCCTTCATAAACCGAAATTATTTTGGATCAGAGTCTCTGATCTACTTGTTAATATGAGTATTAATGAAGAAGGCAATCAATCACAAATGTGTAAAACTGTTTTTGATGTGGTTGTGTTCTCTGAGCCGGATGGTTAATTTGTGAAGCTTTCATTGCCCAACCTACTAGGCAACATCGCTTCAGCGCATACTTCAATTTGTTGAAGTGAGCTTTCAGATTTCTCCACGAGTTTATTAATCATCTCTCCTGGTAACCTTGAGCGTGATTGGTTGTTTTGTGTGTTTTCACACCTTCCATCTTACTTTTATTGGAACTGATTGTTTCTTTGACTTGAACTTTTACCCTTTGTGTGTGAGATTTTCTTCTTATCGATTGGTAAATTTTTTCTATTTCGATGTGTCACTGGAATACCAGGCTTCTAAAAATTCTCTAGCATTCTTGTTGTTTACTCTGTCCAATATTTGAACATTGTCCCAGTCAAATTGATATCCATGGTTGTCTGTATGCAGTGAAGCGATATGAGGGAGTGTATCTCATATCTATTGACGGCTAGGTTATGATCATGGATACGAAGACGAAGGGGACGTCCACTTTGGCCAATGTAGTGTTTTCTGCAGTTGTTATAATTTATTTTGTACATGACCTGTATTTTATCTGCTTTTGTTGTTGAGTGTTTTGGCTGATACAGAGTTGACCGATGTGATTTTGTGCGATGTCAATTCCCAAAGGTTTGAAGTGTCTTGCAGTGATTTCTGAGATGTCTTTTATATATGGTAGGGTGATATTCTTTGTGATTTCCTTGGGGGTCTTTGATTTGATAGGTTGGCTTGGGGCTAAATGTCTTTTGGTGAAATTCCGTGGATATCCATTCTTATGGAGGACGTAAATGAGATATCTTTCTTCAATTTTCCTTAAGGTGGGAGTGCTGCAATGAGTCCTTGCTGGCTCTTTTGAATAGTGTTTGTATACAACTCCATTTGTGTATTATTGGATTGTTGCTTTTGTAATTCAGTATTTAGTCCGTGTGAGTTGATTTTCTATAAACTTGAGTTTCGAATTCCCCCGTGGTTGTTCGCTTGCCTAAGACGTTCAACAATGGGATTTTGCCCTTTGATTCCTCTTCTCTTGTGAATTTGATGTCGTTAAAGACGCTATTTATTAAGTTGTGAGTTTTATCCAACTCGTTTCTTTTGATTATTACGAATATTTCATCTACGTAACGTATCCGAATTTAGGGCTTGATTTTTGTTAGGATTATGTTTTCGAGCCCATGCATCACTGTTCCTGCAATCAAACCTGATATTGGTGATCCCATGGGTGTTCCTTTAACTTGTTCATATATTTGTCCGTTGAACTGGAAGTATATTGTTAGGCATAGGTTTATGCATTCCACCCATCTTCTGTGTTGCATTTTTGATTGTTGTGGGAGGTGTTCGTCGTTTCTGAGTAATTACTCCACGGTCTCTTTGGCTAGTTTTTGTCCGATTGAGGTATATAATGCTGTGACGTCGAAGCATATCATTATTTCTTTTTTCTTTTATGCTACTTAATTGATTCGCATGAGTAGTTATATACCACACAGATTAAAACGGTAGTGCTTGCTAGCCAGATCGAAGTGATCTGAATACTGGACTGCAACCACAGAACTCAGCTAATCAGTAGTATATAGTTCTCCGTAATAAAAATAATTACTGTTGCAGATGAATTAAATAAAATTCATTGAATCGCTAACATCATGTTGATAGATATTGGGTGACAGGGGTGTATTCAGGGTGTCCATCACAATTTGTGTCTATCCTTTAATTTATGCTGAATTCCCATTTCATAAAAATTAAGAACACATCTGCCAGGAAAGAGATCTCTTCTTTCGTGACTTCACTTGAAAGCTGTACAGTTATTTAGTGGGGTTTATGTGTGCAATGAAGAATGACAACAGACACCAGAGTTTAGGATCCATTATTAATAAAAACCACATCAGAATGAATGAGTAATAGCTATGATCGAAAAAATTAGGAATAATTCTTAATAATCAAAATGACTGACAGGTAAATAGTTTATTGATAAGAGACATGAGAACAAAAGATTGAAAATCAGTCATTTGAATTATTCCCTTGATTTCCAAGTGGAACATGGGGATTCAAAAACACATCTCCATCCTTTTTCTGTTTTCATTGCTCCTCTTCATCTGGTTAGCTCCACGATTGCCCATAACCTCTCACTCTTCCTTAAACTCACACTATCTCCTCCGTGTCACCATGGCACTGACGACCCACTTGTCACTCGAGCGATGACCCGTATTGCCCGCAATGTCATCCGACAGCCCGATCAGTCTCCTTTTTCTCCTATATATTTGTCGTGCAGTCGACTCATGGTTGGTTTGTTGGCAGAGTTTCTTGTTGCTAATTCTTTCTGGCTAGCCGGCTGACCGTTTGACCTACAGTATGGAGCCGACGAAGGCAGCTTTTGATGAGAGTCCGCAGTGGCCTATTGGAAATCCTTTTCGTGACTTTGAATTCTTCATACGTTCCGACTGCCATCGTTTGAAACCGTACTTCCTAGATAAGTGAAGGGGGTAACCCTTTTTCAAATCTCTCCCATCGCAAAAACATAGAACGGACTACATAGAGCTTACTATGCAGTAGTTATTCAGAAGGACAGAGAAGGAAGAAAGAAAAAATAGTGCTAAGGCCATTGGAAGTAATAAGGGCTGAATGACAAGTTTCTGAACACAAAGTTAAAGTTACTCCTTTGGGATTCCTAAGACTTCAGCTATATGAAAAAGATATAGATGAAATCCTTTCGAACGACTTGGTTGTACTTTGTGAATATGACTCTGAAAGAAGTCTCTACTGATGCTGCATGATCAGAAGTAATCTTATGCTCCAGAATTGAGATATTGACCGCTCTACTCTGTCCTTTTCATGGCCATACTGGTAGGTGTTCACAGCATCCAGACAATGTCCTGTTAGTTCGGCCCATGTACTTCAACCGCCTGAATCACAAGTGGGGAAAGAAGCAAAGATTAGTGTAAAATAGGAATTTCCATGTATTGGATCTTGTAGAGATTTTGTTTGACTGCTGAAGAGTCCCAAACCGAAACGAAATGGTTGTCCAGTACTCCCTGCAAGTTTTCCAATGGTTCTCTTACTGACGTCAACTCATGATGAAGTCCTGCGACCAATCAAACAAAATTCCCTCTAAAACCAATACTCGAACATTAATCTGATGTTCACTAGCGACGGCCCCTTTCGAGCAGTTACCTGCGGTCCTAGTGGGAACCAGTGACCAGTTTGGTGCAGCAGGTTGAAGGTGAGGCAGTAACTCATCAAAGAAGACATTCTTAAGTGGTCACGCTATGTCACGCGCTGGCCACTGGATCGGGTCCCAGTGGCTTAATGGTCTACGATTTCGCTAGCCTTGTAACCAGAAGGTCCTGTGTTCGAACCCAGGTAGCGTGTGCGTACTGCTGAAGAGTACCAAGGTAGGACGTAGGTTTTCCAATGGTTCTTTAACTGTTGTCAGTTCATAATTAAATCCTTCAACCAATAAAACAGAAATTCTTTTGAACTGAATTTATATATTTCAACTTGCCTTTAATTCTTGGGCATTCCACCTATGTATCGACTAAAATACTCATCTGTGTAGATATTAGCGTGTTCTAAAAACTTACTTCCTAATGTGTTTTTTTAAACAGAAATTCGTATCATTTTTTAACTTTTAGGAATGTCTATCCGAGATTTAAAGCCACTGAATATAGTCGTGGCGAATATCACACTTGTACTGTTACTTCAGAATTAATGAAAGATTTCGGTGACTACTGTGTAATTCACTGCAATGCATTTTCCACTTTAGAAATAATTCGCTCCTGATTTCTATACTTCTTCGGCTGAATGCTAGAAATTTGGTGTTAATTTGAAATATAAGAACAAAAACTAGGACGAAACAGCTGTCCAGTAACTTCTGCAGATTTTTCAATGGTTCTCTAACCGTTGTCAACTCATGATGAAATCCTGTAACCAATAAAAACAGAAGGTTCAGCGGAGAGTCTCTTTTCAGCGGCGAATTCATTCACTCAACTATGCAGTCGCACTTATACATAATTATGTTGTGTGTGTGCGTACATTAAGATAGTCAAACAAAAGTAAAAATTAGTTAGGACTATTGTTTACACCATAAAAGTGGTCCAAAAATGTGATGAATAATCAAATTTTAACTAGGGGGTGGGGTGAAGATTGATAACTATTGACAAGGGTTGCGTAATATGCAAGACACCCAGAAAAAAGGATATTAATAAGATAGCAGGGACACATATGTGCCAAATAAGTTATGTAATAAGTAGAAAGAGTAAATAAGGGGTTGATTAAGAAAAAGATGTTGCTAAGAAGTCTTACAAACACTCGGAAAAGCCTTATTAACAAAGTAGTAGAACTTGGAGTTATACCCAAGGTACAAGGAGGGTATGGAGAAGTTTCTTCTGTGTGCATAAATCAGGGTTTCCTATCCGGATGGCTAAGGCCTCCGCAGTGCAAAGTGTACTACGGAAGCTTACTGTTTTCAGGAGGCCTCCTTTGACTTTGTAGATAACCTTAAATGAATTCTCCTTACATATTTAGTGACCTGTGTTAAGTATATGTTCAACTTTAGTACTCCTTACTGATCCACTGTTACAGTTTCGTAGCCAAGTGGGATAATATTCTTTGACCTTTTTAGATAAAATACGCATCAAACGACCTATATATCTCGCTCCAAATGAGCAAGCAAACTGGTACATTCACAGAGAAGTGGTCAAATGCGATAGTTTATTTTTGGAGTTGTTGAAGAACGATGGATGGCTTGAGAATACC